CGTCAGTTGACTTCTGTGTATAATTTCAGTAGAATTTTTAATCTCCTGGGTTTCTATTTGAGTCTGTGTTATGGAATCCAGTCCTTTTCTATGTTGGGCACTCATGGTCTCCACGTCTTTCCTAAGCTCATCTATTTTTTAATCTGTATCTTATTCTAGATTCACTAATCATTTTCTTCGGTGTGGTCATCATTTCTTTAATTATCTCTGTTTTGATTTTGTCAAGATATTTATTAATCCATTTTGTTACTTCCACTGCTATCATTTTATAAAATTTACCTGGGTGGCTTTTGATTTCTTCCACCTCAAGGCCCCCTTAATTTGCCATAAGCCAATTGGGGTTTGTGGGTTGCATCTTGCTCCTGTGTTTTCTCATTTTCTATTTTTTTTATTAGTTTTCTGCACTGAGGCTTGTAAACTGTGTATAGTAGGTAGCTTTATTACTATTACCAAGACCTCTTTAGGAAAACATTACTTTTCAGAGAAGTCTTCTGGGTGTACCTGGGTTTTGGCTTTCAAGTCTGTCTGAGGGTTCTACTTCTTTAATTTATTAGGCACAAAAGTTTGCTGTCTGTTTGGCTTAGCACCTGGTTTTTTGGTACTGGTCTATAGTATTGCTTATGCCCCTAGACTATCTGGGTATTGACATACAAGGAAAATCAATTGAGTCCAACAACTATGTCAGTAATAACAATTTCATCAAGCACAGAACTGGAACATACCAGACTGTGAAAACTAGCAATTTGATGCCTTTAATCACAGATTTATGCTTATATAAATATCTTGGTTACTTTTCTCTTGTTGCTGAAACAAAATACCCAACACCCAAAATTAAGGAAGGAAAGGTGTACTTAGTTCAGTTTGTGAAGCTTTCAGTCCATAATCAGCTGGCTCCAAGGCAGGGTGGCATGGCACAGGGCAATATTTCAAGGTGGCAGAAGCCAGCAAAACCACAAAAACGAAGTGGGGGGGCAAGCCTCTTTTTTCCCTTGTATTCTACACATCCCTTCTCCAACCCCTGAAGGTGTAGAACTCACAAAATCTCTTGCGCAGACTGATGATGTTTACAAAGTAAGGATTCTGGCTCCTTGCTGAGTCTCTTAGTTAAACTTCTAAATCTCTCAAGTTGACACAACCATAATGATAAGAAAAACTAAGGCAAATCAGAAAATTATATACAATAAATAGCTACTCAGTAAAGTGATTTTACCTTGGGGGAGAAATTTTTTAAGATAAGAGGAAAAAATAGAGAAATAAAGGAAGAGAAAAAGATTAGAAGCAAGGCTGGAGGACAAAGGAAGATCACCCAAGCCTCAGAAAACTGGTGAAGAATAAGCGAAAGAAAGAACAAAAACAAGAACAAAGCAAAACAACTAAAAACAATGCTTGCTCTCTCTCTCTCTCTCTCTCTCTCTCACATGCACACTCAAAAAATCAAAAAACCAAAGGGACAAAATTATTTCTCTATGATTTCAAGCCTGTGGTTACCTTTTGGGGTTTACAGTTTTGCAGCAGTGTCCAGTTCAGGGCATGACTCTGCTCTTGGTGGTAAACAAATGCCACAGACAGAGCCCAGATCCATGCTGGATAATCCCAGCAAGCCTGCAGTGAGAATAGGATAGGAAGGCTCTTACGGTACTTTCAAATCCATGGAGGTTCAGGCTGACCTGGCCTCTGGTCACAGGCTGGTGCCTGAGTCGTGTATCTTATAACGCTGTGGGTGTCTGCTGCCAACTTGACCATGGCTTCTTGACCCTGGACATCTCATATGAATGTCCCTGGGATGACCCAGTTACCGCAGGATTTTGACTCTGGGAGTCCTGAGATGAAGCCAACCCCAGTTGCTCCAAGTCTCAGGTCCAGTTGACTCCTTCCTAAAATGGCATCTGACCAAGCACGCTTTCCAGGGGACACAGAAGTTGCTTGGGCTGGAGTCATTTATCAGCTGTTGTCATGCAAGCATCTACTGCTCAGATCCACTGGTGTGCTTCTCCATGGAGCCCTCTGGAGTTACCTGCTTTCACTGTGTCTGTAGATTCTGTCTTCCTTCCTCAGGAACTGAGGAGAAAGTACAGATCACCTCTTCCCTTTTTTTGCTTTGAGGTTTGTCTCTTTACTTTCTCTATGAACTCTAATTTTTCCTTTGGCTCCTTCCTGGGTCCCAGGGATCCATCTCCCTCCCTTCCCCCATTCATTCATTTATTTGAGACAGGGTCTCACTATGCAATACAGGTTGGCCTTCAACTTACTATGTAGCCCAGGTTGGCCTGGGACTCATGACAATCCTCCTGCAGTCTAATGTTGAGGCGGTGGGATGGCTATTATTGGAGGCTTTTAGCCAGATTTATGTTGTGAATCAAGAGCAAAGAGCCCAGAAGGGTAATTTAAAATGTTTTAAGTTTGGTCACAAAGCCGCGGACTGTAAAGATAGAGCTGAGATCTCGATTGCTGAGAAGGAACAAAAAAATAAAAAATAAAAAAGATGGCCTGCAGGCATGACAGGAAAAGGCAGTGAATCTCCATCCTTTGCAGCCTCAAACTTACAAAAGTGAAAGACTGCTTGGAGGAGAAAGTTTCAGAGTGCCATGTTCCAGAATGGCGGCAACATAAAAATTCTGTTCCTCAGAATCAAGTTCAGAGCGCTCAGTGATGCAGGCACTTAACCCCTACAACCAAGATGGAGGAAAGCCTGCCTACTGCTCCAACTGGCAGCAGACCTTGTTGGTATTCATAGGGCGCTGGATTTAAGCACATGGAGAATGCGTGAATTCCTGAGGTTAAAAAGTCTTCCACCTCAATTTGAAAAGGCCTGGGCGTTCAGGCCATGTGCCCCCAAGAAGGCAGTTGTGTGAAGCTGTGAGTGTGAAGCCAAGGTGCAATACAGAACCCAGAGGTTTGGAAAATCCAGGAGCATGGATCATGTAAGGAAAGCTGCAAGGATTGATTACAGCAGGCCTAAAAGAGAAGTCCTGAGAGCTAAAACCTCTGGAAGTGCTGTGGGTGGAGTCACTCAAGCCCTTTGGAGCTCACAACCAGATTGCTTCAGCTGCTGAGTGTGAACTCCAAGACTTAACGTTTGCCCTGCTGGATTTTGGACTTCCTTTGGTATCACTCCCGTTTGTACCCCTTTGGAATGGTAATGTTTATCTTGCCCTATTGAAAGTTAGGATGTTTAACTTTGTTTCTGTTTCAGCTATGAGTTTGCCTTAGATCTCGGAGGAGACTTGAGACTTGAACTTCTTAGCAATGCTGAAACTATTAGGACTTGGGCAACTCTTGGAGATGGACTAAATGTTTTTTTGCATAAAGGATGTGCATGAGTCCTTGAGGGGCCAGAGGTGGAATGCTGTGGTTTGTTTTAATGCCCCCCCCCCCAAAGCCTCATGCAGTCATGGAAGTAGCTGAATCTAGCATTTGTGATTAGTTTGTTATATAGTGCTAGGATTGGTGGTGTGAATGCTGCACCCACTCAGGGGCAGGTGCCAGCATATAATATAAATGAGGGAAGAAGGTGTGCTCCTCCCATTTTACCCTTTTGCTCTTGTTGCTCGTGGCCACCATGAACAACTGTCCTTCTGACAAGCCACCTTGCCTTGGAGTCAGCTGAGTATAGACTGAAATCTTTAAAAACTGTAAGCTAAATAAACCTCTCCTCCCTTCATGTTGGGTGTCAAGTGTTTTTTTTTTTTTTCAGCGACAAGAGAAAAGTAACCAAGACAGGAGGGAACCCAACTGCTGAGTGTGGTGGCTCACGCCTGTAATCCCAGTGCTTGGGAGGCTGAGGCAGGAGGATCACTACAAGTTTGAGACCACCATGGGCTCCACAGTGAGTTCCAAGCCAGCCTGAACTACATAGCAAGAGTTTGTCTTAAAAAAACTAAAGCAAGTTGGGGAATGTTTTAGTTTTGTGACCAAGGTCTTCACAGGGAGCTACATCCCCAGCCTTTTTTATACTTTTAATTTTGAGACATTAAATTTCCCCAGTCTGGGCTCAAACTTGCAATCCTCCTGCCACAGCCTTCCAGAGTGGTGGACTACATACAGTTCTGCACCACTATACCAGCTGCCTTCTGTTTTAATCTGAAAATATCTGCAGAACCCTCAAAAAGATGTAGAGGACTCCAGGAGGTTGGGTTTGGAAGTTGACTCCCTGACGGGAGGGATTCGTCAGCGAACAGGATCCACAGAGCTACAATCACTCCCTGGCCAAAACAGCCCCTCAGAAGCTATTTGTTAAATGAATAATGAAATAATGAACAGCCTTGGGGACTTTGCAGTCTTCTACTCCAACTCCCCATCTGAAGTCTCAGCTCCTGGTAAAACATCCCAACCTTGTGGCTGTGAGCAGCGGAACATTTTCTCTCATGATGGTTCCCTGTGTCGGCACCCTGTCATTTCCACTCTTGGGCCCAGCTCTGCCCGCTTCCAACTCCGAAGGCAGCAGAGCCCCTCAGAACCTCCTGGCCATGCAGGGAGGACCTCCACTAACAAGTCTCCCTGCTTCCGCCCCTTTTTTTTTTTTTTTTTTTCAGAAGGGTGACATGGCATTTTCCTCAAGGCAGTTCAGTACTTTATTTATTTATTTATTTATTTTTTGGTACCAGGAATTGAACTCCTGATCTCACGCTTCCCAGGCAGGCACTTATGCCACTGAACTATATCCCCACGCCCTGTTTTTGTTTTTTGAGACGGTTTCACTCTGTAGTTCAGGATGGCCTCAAACTTGTAGTGGACCTCCTGCCTCAGCCTCTTCATGCTGGGATTACAGGCATGTTCTACCGTACCCAGCTCTTCCACCTGTTCTTAATTGGGCCTCTGTGTGGTTCCTGGAAAGAAGTTCCAGGTTACTGGGTCCCACATGCACCTGAAGCCTTCTGGTAGCTTCCAGCTCAGAGTGAAGGCTAAGGTGACTTCCAAGCCAACAAGACCCCCATTTCCATTGTCACCAGCTCTCTCCATGCCAGGGGAGACATGTTGGCAGTCACAGCAACACACTGGCAGACAGTTTTTGCTTTTATTGTTCAAGAATTCTTTACAAAACCCACACTCACACATCCACACACACACAAGGTGCCCTGGCATCAGCCTTCCCTGGCATCAACCCTCCTGGGCCTTGCTTGAGGGATGCCACCCTGTAGTAGCTGGTGTCCCCTGAAGAAAGTAGACAGGAGTGACCCAGGACCAGGTTGTCCCCTGCTCTCATCTGAGCTCCGTGAGTCACCCAGTGTCACGATGGCTAAAGCCGCAGGTCCATGTTGGTTGAGTCCTCCCCACCCCAAGAGGGGTTCCACATCTCCCAGGGGCAGAGACAGAGTCAGGACGGAGCTCCTTAGCTTTTCTTGGCCTCGAAGAGGTGGGGACAGTGCAGGAAGGTGCCAGCCAGGGCCTGGGGCAGGCGGGGAGCACTGGAGAGTGTGCCAGAACTATAATGGTCTTCCCAGGATGCCCTCCGTGACTGCCCGAGTGGCCTGCTCAGGCACACGGCTTGGGTCGGTCAAAATGCTGGTAGACGCGCTCAGTTGGCGAAGGGAGTTCAGGACAGCTGGGGAGACAGAGACAGAGGTACCCGCTGAGGTCAGGGCTGAAGTCCAAGTGTGGACAGGACGTACGGGTGGCCAATGGCCAGTCCTCCCAGGAACTCTGGCTCCAGCCACTCTGGGGAGGGGTGTAGTGGAAGGGCCGTGGGGTCTGGGCAGGTTGGAAAGCCTGGTACCTCCAGGACTGGGCAGGCAGGAGCTCACGTACTTGGTCGGAGAGCAGGCAGGGAGCAGTACTGATCCAGCCAGGCCAGCGAGGTCTGGCGGAGGCTATGCAGGCTTGCTGTGGACACCATCCCATTGAAGGACTCGAACAGAGGCCGGATGAGGATGCTGAACTGGGCCCGGGTCAAGGAGCAGCCTGCATCCAGATGGTATCCACCACCTCATGTGGACCCCTGACCTCGGCCCAATCAGGGAGAGGAAGGGCCTGGCACTGTGTAATCTTCAACTGCGAAGACCCTGCTATCTCCGCTCCCCGCCCTCCACTCCAGCTCTGGGGCTCAGCATCCCCTGCCTGCCTGCTCCCTATCTGGTAGACTGAACTGCTCCCTAACCCATTCCAGTCAAGAACCTGAGCCAGGTAAGAGAGTGGATTCCATGGCTTTGTGTTTTCCAGTCCTGGGAATTGAACCCAGGGCCTTTGTACCGAACTATATCCCCAGTCCTTTTTATTATTTGAGACAGGGTCTGGGTAAGTCTCTAAGTTGCATTCTTGGGCACAGCTACTCTGGCCACAGTGCTCACCCAGCTTCCCCTGCTGCCCCCAAGCCACTGACTCGAGAGTGGATACAACCCAGAACTTCCAGTTGTGCAGTGTTCGCGTTCGGACGTAGTCATCAAACATGTCTCGCATCTGGTCAAAGCGCTGGTGTGTGATGGGCACCCCCGTGGCGGGCAGCTGTTGTTGGCACAGGCTGCGGGCATGGATGGGTCAGGGGCCAGGGGCCTGACAGTCACTGGCTCCCTCGCCCAGCACCTGCCTGGGCCCAGCCTACTTGATGGCAGCATTGAGCTCCTCGATCTCATCCCGCAGCTGCTGGGCCTCCTGCTGCAAGGCCGCACGCTCCTGCTGCAGCATGATGATGTACTCGGCCGTCTTCTGCAGTGTGGTTGCCTTGCTCACCTGCAGGTGACATCAAAGCAGGCCTGAGCGCTGGAGGCCATGATGCCCATGTGTCTGGGGGCTCTGTGGTCTGGTCTTGGGTGGGGGTCCAGGAAGGGGCCTGGGGTGCCAGTCCAGTAGGGGGCTCACCTTGAGGTTGGGCTGGGCACTGAGCGTGCTCACAAGGCCGTGAAGGATGTCAAAGCCCAGCTTGATGTTGAAGCGCCGCTTCTGCTCGGCGGAGATGTGTGTGATGCGCCGGCTCTCAGTCTTGGGGAGCACACAGTGGGGTGAGCCCAGAAACGAGCCTGGGGTGCAGACCTATCTGGGGGCAGGGGCTGACGCTCACCTTGCTGTTGTCTGGCCGGCCCCGGCACGGGACAAGTGGAGGGGGAGAGACACCCACACTCAGAGCCCCCAGAGCCGGCACACAGTTGAGCTCCTCAGACAGCCGCCGCTCACTGCCTGTGGCAGGGACAGACAGACAGACACACAGGACAGAGGGTCCTGTTGCCCTGCCCTCCTCATTGTGGCCCCAGACACAGTTCTCCATCTTTCTTCTCTTCTCTCCCCTAGATCCTCCCAAACCCTGTAACCTGTCCTTACCGCTGGGCGCTGGAGGTGACAGCCGCTCTGCTTTGGGGACAATCAGGGGCCTAGGAGGAGCCAGTGTGGCTGGGCCCAGAGGTGGCCGGGGTGGTATAGAGGCCAGGGTCAGGGGAAAAAAGACATGGGGGAATTCAGGGACTGTCTCCTGTTGGGGTGCAGAGGATTGAAAGTTGGAGTGAAGGCCTTGGGCTCATCCCCATCTCCCACTGCCCACCATCTTACCGGGGACCCTGGGGGCCGGAGGAGGGTGCTTGGTACAAGTGGTGGTTCCACGGCTTGCTCAGTCTTGGCTGTGCACAGGGGGACTGTGAGGGGTGCAGGGGCTGGCCCAACCCCATCAGTGCTCAGGACCCCCTCCTGCTCCTAAAAGCCCACACCCATAATTCCATGCTACCCTGGTCCCTGCTGTCCCCCAGAACCTCCTCCCAGGGCTAGTTTGTAACACCCTCTTCCCCCTCTTACCTGCCCTCAACAGTTGGGTGAGGCAGGGGTTGCTGCCCTGGGTGGTAGCAGAGGCCAAGGTGGGGGTAGTACTGGCCTTCCGTTCCCTGGAGGGTGGGCCAAGGGGCTTGCCCCTGGGCTGCACCCCCTGAGGCACTGCGAAGGGACTGCTAAAGCTGGGCTCTGGATACCCCGAGGACAGAGGGTCTATGGGGAAGGGGGTGGGGCCCGGGACAGGGCCTGGGATAGGCTGCACGGGGGTAGCTGGGAAGGCTGTGGGAGCAGGCAGCGGGGATGCTCCCCGCGCCTGAGGGGCTGCGGGGAAGGGGAACCTAGCTGAGAAGCGGGGCTCCTCCTGCAGCAAAGCAGGGGCTGAAGCAACGGGAGGGAAGGAAGATGGAGTGCAAGGCTGCAGGCCTGGCACCTTGTCAGGGGCAGGGTACTGGAGCAGGTGTGGGGGCCCAGAAGGCGGTGGGAGCTTGGCCTTGGGCTCTTCCGGAAGGAAGAAGTCAGAACTCCGGAAGGCACTGGGGTCCAAGGGCCCAGGGCAGCTGTTTCGAGCCTGGTTTGGGGTAGAGAGACACTCAGCAGGGGAGAGGGCTGCACTTGCAATCACTCAGGCAGCCTCCTGCCCTCCCTGAGCTCTGGACTGGGTGCTGGGGAGAGACAGGAGCAAGGATCCTTGCTTTCCAGTGCATGCACATGCACACGCACATGCACATGCACATGTACATGGAAATTACAATTAATGAGCAGAGTAAGTGGAATGCTTCTATGCAAAAATCAGAAATAACGAAACCCATCAATCTTTCTGTCATCCATCCTTCTGCCAAATAATTCATGTCTTTACTCATTTGACCAACACTTCATCTGCTGACCAATCCACTCACCCATTCTTTGTCCATCTGTCCACTAACTCATCTACCAGCCTCTCCGTCCATCATTTACCCACCCATCCATCTCCCCTCCATTTGCCTAGTTATTCTCAGCTACGAGCTAGTTCACATACCTAAACCAACACCAGCTTACCAGGTGCTAAGCTGTTTACCAGCTCATCCATAATCTACCCATCCATTCATCCATCTGGGCTATCCCATACTCCAATGTAGGAGTACCTTGGGCAAACCCCAAAGTTAGGGTACCCTGTACCCCAATCATCTATCCATCCACTTATCCATCCATCCATCCATCCATCCACCCATCCACACACCCATGCCCCATCCACCTGTCATCCATATATTCACCGGCCACTTCGACCAGCCCATCAAACTACTTATATATTTATAAATGCATCCCCAGCCCGGCCACACAGCCAACCACGCATCCACTTATACCTTCACCAGTCCACACACAGATGCCCCGCCATCTATAGCAAAGCCTTCCATTCGCCAATATGCTCATCCATCTGCTTGCTCGCTCACTGCATACTTCCTGAGGGCTGCTATGTGCATGGACTGTGCCAGGCACTCAAGAGCCAGTAGTGAACAATGCACGGCCCTTCCAGCATGGGGCCTGGTGTCTGGTGGCAGCGGCACCTAACTGTCTACCATAGTGACTGCAGGGTCCATGGAGGAAGTGAAAGGCACCTACTGTCACCGCAAGGAAAGCATGGGGATGGGGCTTGACTGAATAAGCCAGCTCGGTTTCCTAAATAGGTGCTCAGCCCTCTGCCTCCACAGCTTCCCTTCCAGCGGCTCCCTCCACCTGGCTTGCCCTCTACCGATCTCTTCTGCCCAACCCGACCAGTTCACTAAGGCCCAGAACCCCCTCCTCTGGGAAGCCTCCCACTAGCAGCCCCACCCCGACGTTCCGCTGAACTCGGTCTACTCCACCTCCATCTTGCCTGATTCTGCTACAGGGGCCTCTGGCCCAGCCAGTTTGGAGACTGGGCCTTGGGAAGGGCCTGGTCAACCCTGTCCACAGGCAGGGCTGGAGGGGACCCAGGCAGTCTGCTGGGGCAGGTGAGCTCACCTGCAGGCGACTCTGTCCCGGGATGTGAGGCAACCCTGAGGAGGCTGGGGGTGCCTCTGGGGCCAGGATCCCACTGCCAAAGCCGGAGTCAGCCATGGGGGTGAAGCTGGGGGGCTCCATGAAGTTTGAAGCTGTGGGCGTCTGTGGGAGGCGGTAGTTGGTGAAGAAATCTGTAATGTGGACACACAGGGTGGTGGCGATTAGGACTCATGCTGGCCTTGGGCCCTGACTCCAGGGCAGGGTGGGTGGAGCTGAGGGGAAGGGGGCTTCTGTGGGCAATTATGAAACTGGAGGAGCTTCTGTCTGGCTCAGGGGAAGCAGCCAGAGACTAGGGTACAGGGGCCACAGTAGAGACAGAGGGGCAGGGAGGTGGTAAGCAGGGTCCCCAGGAAGCAGCCCACCCATGCACCCCATGCTTGGCTCACAGGGTCCCTTCTAGGTCCCCATCCCTCCCCTTACCAGCTCTGTCTAGAAAGTGGGGAGCACAGAGAAAAGCCTGTGAGGGAAAGGTGTGGGATGCTGGGGAGGAGCCCCTCAGAGTGGGACTTCAGGGTGAGTTAGGGGTGACCAAGGTCAGAAGGGCAGTGACTCTGAGACAGAGCAGACAGACTGTGGGAAGGGGGACAGTGAGGCTGTAAAAGTACAGCCCGGGGTGGGGCGAAGTCCAAGGGGGGCCAGTGAGAGCCCAAAGGGGTACCTGCTCGGGGAAGGGGGGAAAGAGGACTGGGAAGCCTGGAGGAGCTGGGGAGTAGGCAGGCAGAGTGTTTGGGGTGTAGGTTGTGTAAGCCCCGGGCTATTCTGGTTTTGGGAAGCAGCTGCCTGTGGCCTAACCACATCCCGGGGCTGCCGCCGCCCGCCTGCCTACCCGCTCCCTTCCGGGCACCTTTCTTTGACCCTGGCCAGCCTGTGCCAGTTCCCGAGGCCACCAGGGCCAGTCAGACCCGAGTTCCCCCACCCCGTGCTGACTCCCACCTGGCTTGGTATGGGCCTGGGCCTCTTTTTTCCCCTAGGCCTCCTGCCAGGAGAGCGTTAGAACAGGTTCCGTGGAAACCAGGATTTACAGGATCAGCTGCATGTGTGCACGAGTGAATGTGTGTGTGTGTGGGGGGCATTTGTCTTAGGTGGCCGTGCTCGTCACAAGACCTAGGCCTGGGTGTCAGGCAGGGATCCACCACCTGCTGCCTGAGTGTCGGTCCCCACATCCATACTCTGAGTCCCTGTTGGGCTGTGATAGTTTGGTGTGTACATATCTGCTGTGTCCATATCTATGTCTTCCCCAGCATCTGGTTAGAAGTTGGCTGGGTTTTTTTCTTTCCTTTTTTTTTTGGCATGGAAATTGAATCCAGGGCCTTTGCACTGAGCTATATCCCTAGGCCTTTATTTATTTATGTATTTATGTATTGAGACAAGGCCTCACTAAGTCACTAAGTTCTCCAGGCTGTGTTCAGAGTTGAGATCTTCCTGCCACAGCCTCCTACAGTGCTGGGCTTATAGGCGGCACACACCACCATGCCTGACTGGAAGGTGGCTTCTTGCTGTCCTGTTGCAATCTCTCCCAGAGAGATGGGTGGAACCAGGCGGTGGTCACTGATCCTCTACCCTTGTCTCCCGTGGGCCGTGACCTCCTCACTAGGCTGTTCTGAGGCTCAGGGCTTTAGAAACAGCCTCACATTGGGGGTCCCTACTCAGCATTGCTGCCTAATCCCAGGGGATCTGGCGGAAGATATGGGGTGACAAGTGCACATCACCCCTGACTCCCAGCCACCCCCTCACCACGACTGCCCACTTGTCTCCACCTTGCCTTGAGAGCAACCCCTTCTGTCCGGCCCCAGGCCCCTCGAAGCCCTGCCCCACCTCACTGACCGAAGTTCCTGAGGCATCTTCTCTGCACCCAGGCCTCACCCAGCCCCTGGCCCACTGTGCTGTGCCCCTCATGGGCTCTCCAGCCTCCTCTCCAGGGAGGGTCTCTCGGGACTCTCAGTGGCAGCCAGTTGGTGCAGTGTTTGTGAGGGCCACACCAGCGGCAGCTCTGTGTGATCCCATTTGCTCCCACCCAGCAGCCCCCTGGAGGGACAGCAGTCGCTGCCCAGCCCCAGTCTCTGGGTTTTGTCCACAGCCCAGATGGGCATCATGGGTTCCTACCTGTGTCAAGGGTCTGTGTGCCCAGACAGGGCAGCTGCCCTCCCTGGCTGCTCTGCTCCCAGGGCACCGCCATCTACACTTCTGCCCCTGACAGCCCCCACCCAGCCCAGGATTGGGGGAGGTTCCTCATTCCCCAGTCCCCGCCCCATAGGCCTCCACTTCTTGATTGACAGGTCCAGGACCCTGTGGGGGAAGGAGCTGGAGGGTTGGTGAGTGTAGACTTCGGTGCCAAGGACCCTCTTTCAGTCCCGGGGGTCTGAGTGAGCCCAAAGGCCCCTAAATGCTTGTACACAGGGACAGTCTGCAAGATCTACATCGCGGTGAGTAAAGCAACGCAGGAAAGAGCCCATCGTGAAAAAAAGACGTCCTGATCTGCCTACGTGGGCCTAATATTTCTGGAAAGACACCAGGAGACCAAGAACTAGGTGTCAGTAGGGGCAAGAGAGGAGACAGAAGACTCACTGCTTTACAAAAACGCTTCATGAAATCTAAGCCAGATGTGGTGGCGCACACCTGTAATTCCAGCACTTGGGAGGCTGAGGCAGGAGGATTGCAGTGAGTTCAAGGCCAGCCTGGGCTATATAAGCAAATTCAAGGCCAGTGTGCACTACATAGGGAGACCCTGTCTTAAAAAAAAAGAAAAAAAGAAAGAAAGAAAAGAAAAAAAGAAGGAAAAAAGTGGAGGAGGGACAGTCTACATGAATCAGGAATGGCTGTGAATTGGTAAGCTGGGGACACAGGTGACATGGGGAAGGACCAGAAAGATCACTCAGAAATGCCCCAGATCGCCTTCCCCACCAGAGGTCTGGCTGGCCCTGGCTGTGTCTCCCTGGGGAAGGGCCCTGCCCCACCTGAGCTCTCCATGAAGTCATCCAGGCTGGGCTGCAGAGGCGTCAGGTCCGGCTGGATCATGTCAGCATTGCTGATGTAGGCTGGAAGAGCGACAGACAGGGTACAGTTGCAGGTGCCTGCCCCTGCTTCTACCCCCAACTTAGGTGCTCAAGGCCCTGTTCCCTTCCTTATGCCTGCAGGCTGGCCCTCACCATCCTCGGGGGGCAGCTGCAGGGGCGAGGAGTTGGGTTGCGTCATGGTGAAGAGAGTGTCGGAGATATCGGAGAGAAAGCAGTCGATGTCCAGGAGCTGCCGCCCACCAGGCTCCTCCTCGGGGCTCCCCAGCAGCACTGGCACCACACTGGAGAAGAGCTGCTGGCACCATCGCTCTGGTGGCGGCCACCCGCCTTCCGCCTAGAGAGACAGAGCGGTCACCTCCCAGCCCTAAGACTCACCGCCCCTCCTCTCCCAGCTTTGCTGCCTGGAAGGCCCAGGTCCCCCAGGGGCCTTTACCTCGTGCCCCCAGTTTCCTTCCTGTCGCTGCGCTTTGTCCTGCCAGGAGCCAGGGTCTTTAGGGTACCATTCCCCTCATGCCTCCTGACACCTGCTCAGGGGCCCCTGGGGTCTGCCCACGACTTTGCCTCCCAAGGGGAAAAGGCTCAAGGACTCTCCCAGGATGGTGGCACGCCCATTCCCCTGCACCCCACTCCCACGCCCGGACACTGCGCAGGCCACCGAGGTGGAAACTGTCCCTGAACGTCCCCTACCCAGGGACCCCAGACTCCCCGCTCTGTGGGACTTACGCAGCACCCACCTGCTTGGGGGCCAAGAGATCCCCTTCCCTGATGGACTTACGGAGCTGTAGGGACAGAGTTGCACATTGGGTCCCCTCCCTATCGCCCCCTCTTGCCATCCCATCCCAGGGGTCCCCCTTTTGCGCCAACCCCCCAGCCGCCCTAGGGAGTAGGCAGGTTGCGAGGAGACCCCGTGGCCACACGGTGGCGCTGTCCGCCAGGGCTTTCTGGAGGGTGGGGGGCCGGCAGTGGCGAGGAAGCTGTGGCTCCCACCACGGGCCCCCACTGACCCGCTTCTTGTAATAGATGCGCCACTTGTGGTACTCGCGCATCACCACCTCGATGCGCCGCTTCCAGTAATTCCCCTCCAGGACGACGGCCTGGGGACGGCGGGGACGGGGTTCAGGGTGGGGCCACACCGCGCGCTGCCCCTCGCCCGGCCCCGCCCCTCACCAGGCCCCCGGGCGAGCGCAGCCCCTGCTACCTCCGGTTTGCGGTGCTCATCAGCCTCAGGCCCCTGTAGGGGCGTCACGAAGCCGCACACAGGGCTTTTTCTCCTCTGCACATCTAAGAGAAGGGGGCCAGGTTAGGGGCTCCCAGCCCTCCTTCTCCACCCCAAGGGGACTGAGACCCAAGAGACACCCTGTACAGGCCTGCCTGCCTGCCTTGGGTGTGGGCAGAAGGCACTGTGGCTGCCTTCATGAAGTCCTCCTGTCTGCCTGGCCTTCCTGAATTTCCCCTCATCCCCCACTGGGGATCACACTGGGGATTTAGATCTATTGCTTATTTATTTAAATGTGAGACAGGTTCTCCCTAGGTTCCTGCTAGATTCCTGAGTTCCCTAGGATGGCTTTGAACTTGAGATCTTCCTGCCTCAGCCTCCCAGAGTGCTGAAATTACAGGCCTGTGCCACTACACCTGGTGATCTTCTTCTGTATCTCTGCTTCTTTAGTGAGCATGCCAGGGGTGCAGGCAAAGATTGCAGAATGGATTATGAGACCACAAGTCTCAGGATCCTTTGCTTAGACTCTGGACATGGTGGTTTCCAGAGAACCAGCCCAGAGTCATGTCTCACTGCCACCAATATGAGCCCTGGTCCCCCCAACCCCTCAACACCTCCTTCTCCAGTCCTGTCCTCTCCCCACACTGTTTTCGGCCCATATGCTCATTCCAGTCTCTTCCTTACACCCCAAACTTACCCTCTTCTCCTGTGCCACTGCATGCCTTTGCTCTGCCCAACTCTGGTGTCACTTGCCCCCCACCTGCACAGCTCCATCTGTTCCTCACTCCTGAAGCCCAGCATCTGTCCCCATACCCACTCTATCCTCTTGCACCTGCACCATGTGCCACCTCCCAGGGCCCCAGGGACCTGCCCTCCTCCTGCTGCCCATCACCAGATGCTGACTCCTCTGAGCACCCATCCTCAGTTCTTCCATGCTGCCTCTTCCCAGCTTCACCCCACATCCCAGAGTCCTCGGCAAAAAGCCCAAAATTCACCATAAGAAGTCCCAAAGAACAAGATTTGGCGGTGCACGCCTATAATCCCAGCATTTAGGAGGCTGAGGCAGGAGGATCACCTTGAGTTTGGGACCAACCTGGGTTACAAAGTGAGTTCAAGGCCAGCCTGAACTGCATAGTGAAACCCTGTCTCAAAAAAGAAAAAAAAAAAAAAAAAAAAAAGCTTCTAGGCCTTTTGGCTAAAATCAAGTGTTAAAAAAAAAAAAAAAAAAAGCCAGGTGTGGTGACACACTCCTGTAATCCCAGCATCCAGGAGGCTGAGGGAGGTAGATCATTGCAAATTCGAGACCAGCCTGGGTTACAAAGCGAGCCCAAGGCCAGCCTGAACCAAGTAGCAAGACCCTGTCTCTTTTTTATAACAAAATTTACACATTTTGGATTTTATTACTCCTCAGTTCTCATTACTCTCTTGGGGGGGAGATAATAAAGTCAAATATGGCAAAACAAAGCTGTAAGTCCAAACCAAACCACCTCAAAAAAGAAGAAAAGGTCCCAATCAGCTCCCAGCATTCCTCGTCCAATCCAACAGGGCCTCACACTCTGCAGCCCTGCTTCCAGCCACAGGTCTGGCACCTTCTGTGCCTCCCTAGAGCCCCAGGATAAGGATTGCACTCCTCAGGTCGGTTCTCCAGCTCCTCTTTGCCTTGCCTGCCACCTGCTTTCCTGTGTGGCCCACTCTGGCCTTATTCCGCCCACTCTTCTCCTCCTCTGTCCCTTCCTGTCTGTCAAGTCTCTGCAGATCCACAGCCCCCCACACTAGGAGTGCAGGTAGGAGCAGCTGCTTAGAGCAAGGAGGGCCGGGGTGTCTGCCCCTGGCTTCCCTGAGGAAGGTGTGACACCAGGGCCCTAGAGGAGCCAGGATCCAGCCTTCCCTACCCCCTGTCCAGGGTCCCTGTGCTCTCGACAGCAGGGCTGTGCCAAGGTGGCTTCCTGGGCTGGCACAGGTTTGGCTCTGCACTGATAAATTGGACCGTTTTCTAGTCCTTCCCTCCTTTGTGGGGACAGATGGGGAGGACCCACATGAATCAGGGCTTGAGAGCTCACAGCTCAGTGGGCTGATAAGAAGAGCAAACAAACAGCCCACAGATAAAGCAGTGGAAAGTCCTCCTTTGCCAGAGAGGTGCAAAGTGCCTGGGTGGACTGCAAGCAGGAGAGAGTGTGGTTGGCAGGAAGGAAGGGTGTGAAAACTGGGATCTCCAGAGGGACAGCAAGGCCCTTCCTGGTTGAGACTAAGGTCATGAGAATGCAAGGAGGATGAGTCAGGCAGCTCTCCAGCAGGGCCCTGCTGCTCACTGCCTAAGAGCACCAGGTTCAATGCTGCAAAACAAATGCGCTCACTGAAAATTCACATCGACCTCGGATGCCAAGCTTGCCGTGACTCCCATCTCACACAGCATCAGGTCAGGGAGGGGGCATAGGCTTCCCCATGGGCTTGTGAGGGCTGTGTGCAAACCGAGATTTGCCCAACTCAGTCTGGGTGGGTAAGGACCCCACAGACCTCCTGCCAGAGTTGGCATCAAAAACTACAAGCTAGGCATGGTGTCACATGCCTGTCATCCCAGCATTATGGGAGGCTGAGGCAGGAAGATTGCAAGCTTAAGCCCAGCCTGGACAGCTTCCTGACTTAGCAAGACCCTGTCTAAAATAAATAAAAAATTAAAATATAAAAAGGACTGGGATGCTGCTCAGGGCGAGGGCCCTGGGTTCAATCTCTAGTGACAAGGGGGAGGGGAGATAAAGAAAAAAGAAAAAGAGAAAGAAAGGAAAAAGGGCTTGGGTGTCTGGCACTCCGCTTATCGAATTCCTCATTTAGCCTGGCCAGTGACACAAGTTCTCAGAAATGACAGAACCCTGGGAAGACATCCAAAGGCAGGTGTCTCCCACTTTCTGGAGAGCCTCAGCCCCCGCCCTGGGAGACCTGCATGTTCTGGGGGAGGCCTAGAGCTGGGGCACACAAAGAGCCCTGTACCTTCTCTGTGGGCTGCGCCGCGATACCCACCCCTGAGGGTTTCAAGGGCGCCCTTGAGGAGATATTTCTGAAACTCCCCAGCACAAGACCCAAACAGCACTCCCTCCCCATGGGGCCAGGGCCCAGTGGAGCCAAGCCCAGTGCCGTCTTGGGCTGTGTGGCCCAGGCTCAAAACAGCTTTGATCCTTCGAGGGACCTAAAGGAACTGGTCAAGATCCACACCAGACCTGCCTGGCCAACTCCTCTCTGCCTGTGATGTCCTGCTGCAGGGAGCTGTCCCCAAAGGCATGGCTGTAACCTCCGTGGGGTATATGTTTGTTTGTTTGTAGTACAGGAGACTGAGCCCAGGTCCTTCACACTGAGCTACATCTTGAGCCCTTGGTAATTTTTTATTTTGAGACAGAGCCTCACTAAATCATTAATGGCCTGGGCTGGCCTCGACTTGTGTTCCTCCTGCCTCAGCTTCCCATATTGCTAGGATGACACGTGTAAGTTACCACAGGGTGTATCATTTACTGAACACCGAAATAGTGCTACGCTTTTGATATCCATTGTTGCCACATGAACTATGAAGGGCAGGACTATCAGTCTCATTTTATAGATAAAGAAACAGGCTGAGAGAGGTTAGGCGACTTGATGAAGTCAGGTAGCCAGGAAGGGCCAGAGACAGGGTAGGGAAACTGCTCTAGATGACTCTTAAGACTGGGGTCCCTTCCCTATGCCACATGGCCTCTCGACGCCTCCTCTCCCCAGAGTCCAGCGTGACACTGTTTAGACTTCAGGGAGAGGCCGGTGGCTTCCTTGGTTCCCACTGACAAAGCAGTGCATCTGGCCCAGCTGACCTAGTGCAGCCTGGTCCCCTGGCATCTGAAGCGCCGGCCATGAACAGGATGCAGAATGGGCCTTGAACCACTCCCTGCATCTCAGCTTAGCGTTGCTTTTCAGCAGTTCTGAAGGCTGAATCCAGGGCTTTTTGCACTCAGCTATATCCGCAACCCTTTGGATCTTTTATTTTGAGACAGGGTCTCACTCAGTCATTAAATTGCCCAGACTAATCTTGAACCTGTGATCCTCCTGCCTCAGCCTCCCAGAGTGCTAGGATTATACGTGTGCACCACCACACCTGGCTTCTTTACCTCCTCCAGGGTGTGCCATCTGCTGTGCCCAGCTTCAAGGGGAAAGCACCTTGAGATGCATTTCCCAGACCCTCTGGGGACCTGGTCAGCCCTGAAGCCCTGGGCGGTTCTGTGGGCAGCTCCCTGCCTGGGTCAAGGTCTCCCCTGTCTAGAGGAGCCCAAGATGCCCACTCACACTGGATATACCAGGCCCTCCAGATGGCGTTGTTGAGGCGGATCTTGTCCCGGCACAGCAGCTTGAGGCCTTTGAAGTTCTTCCACTTGGGCGACACCAGCTTGCCACTGTCAGGGAGAGGATGGAGGAGGCAGAGTTAGGAGGAGAGGTGGGCGCCGCCACTCTCCCTGCAAATCAGGCTTCCATCTACAGTTGGAATTTGGGGAATCCCCAAATCCTGTCCCTCATCTACCTGCCTAAAGTTCCTACCCTAGAGTCTGACCTTGAAGATGCCCTCCCTGGCACCCACCATCTGCTCCCCAAACTGCAGCCGAGCTGAACCTTCTCTGTCAGTTTGAGGCTCAGAACCTCCAGGTCCTGTGTGGTCCAAGGTTTCCCTTCTCATAGGCCAGCTGGGGAGAGGGCTTGGACCTATGAGTCCATGGTTGAGAAACAGAGTGTGTGTTTACATTTTAAAAAATGATTGCGGTGAAAGACCACTGCTGTGAGTTCCCCTCAGAACACTCCCCTTCCTTCTGACACACTCATCCCATGGTTCTTTCTGTACTTTCTGTAGTTCTGGACGTCCTCTTCCACCAGGGTCTTGAGTTGTATTGTCGTGGCAGCCCTGGTGGGCTGCATTCATACTGCTTCTGTCAAGGTCTTTGACTTTGACTTTGGGGAAGAGCTGGAAGTCACATGAAGCCAGGTCCAGTGAATAAGATGGATGAGGACACAGTGTCATGTTTTTCCAGGTCTGCCTTTCCATTGGATGGCGCTGGGCAGCAGTATGTACTGAGTCTTTAATCACACCTCGTAAAGACCCTCAGGAAAGAACACTTGCAGAACTGCTTCAGAAGTGGCGAGAAGGATGGGATCAGTGTGTCTGAAGCAAGGGGGAGGAGTCTGAGACACAGTGACATTAAAGTGTCTTTTACTTAAAAACGCATTGTATTTTTCAATCTCCTCTTGCATTTCTTATTTAAGAATAACAAGAAATGACCTTCCCGGCTGGGAGTTTGTGTGCATGCTTGTAATCCCAGCATTCGGGAAGCTGAGGCGGGATAGATTCTGGCTAGCTCGGGCTATATCGTGAGTTCAAAGCCAGTGAGATCCTGTCTCAGTTGTCTCTGGGTGTGTGCCCAAGGTCACATGGCAGGGACTCATGCAGGGTTTGTAGCTTTTTCTCTATGTCTCAATGGTTCCCTTAGGCCTGCGAGATGGGGACAGTTGGGATGCATAGGGAACCTGTCCTTCAGCAATGGCCTCAGAATAACTAGGCACTCTTTTGTCTGTCATCTGTGATCCCAGGATGGCACTCTGGACTAAACTGGATGGTGGACCCACCTCAAGGGCAGCAAAATGCAACGAGCCATCAGGACTCAAGGAAAGACAGAAGACAGACAGCATCCTCAGCCCCTAGCAGCCTCCAAATTCATGGAGTAAGCCAGGTGTGGTGACACATGCCTGTAATCCCAGAACTCTGGTGGGGCCGAGGCAGACGGATCTCAAATTCAAGCCTGATTTAGGCAATTTAGTGACTCAATGAGACCTTGTTTCAAAGTAAAAACTAAAAAAGGTTGGGGATGTAGCTCAATGTCAGAGCCCTGGGTTCAATTCCCAGTACCACGAAAACAAGTGAATAAGCAAAAAAGTAAAATTCACAGAGTGTCAGAGCTTCTCAGAAGTGCTGGCCTGACTCTCCAGAAACCATATAAGCCAAGTTAGCCACCACCGTGAAGCTGATCTAGGAGACCAAGATACACAGGGTCTTGGGCTCTTTGGGTCCCTCACTCCTTTCTCAGAGTCTAGTGGCCCTGCCTGCACAGGAGTCCTTTGGCCTCCCCTCTCCAAGCCTGGATCACATGCAGAGGCAGGAGCTACCCTCTCACAGCTCTGCTCCTGCAGTGCCTACGTATATGGCTCATTGGGTCCCCACTTCTCTCTGGTCTCCAAGCTCCTGTGTTTGCTCGGGGTGGGAGTAGGGGTGGCTGCAAGGGGCGGGGTAGAGATTGCCATCCAAAAGGACAATAGGCCTTATTACCCAAAGAGAGAACATAGCCTGGCCCGGTCCCCTCCATCCTGCCATTAGATAAACACCATCTGTTTGGTAAGGAGACATGGCCCGTGGATGGGGAGCATCTGCTTCTCCTGGGCCAGGCTCTTTTGTGACACCTGGTCAGGGGACTCCTGAGTTTGTCACATGGCTTGTATCCCAGCAACCACCCAAAGTGCTACCAGCCTGCCTGTCTCTCCTTTTTCACCTCCCTGCTGAAGATGGTGGCCCAGCTATGGCCAGCAGACATAGTGACAATATCCAAGTGCAGAAGAAAAGGATTTGGTTGGTTGAATGGGAGGGGAGTGGCCGGCCTGGCACACAAAGCCCAGGGCCAAGGGTCAAAAGCTCCTTCTGCCTGCTGGAAACATGGGAGACTTGGGCTGCCAGACCCATGAGGACTCGCACAGGCCCCAAGTGTGCAGGAATGGAGCTCCCATTGGAGAGCCCCAGCAGGTCCCCGAGGCCACCCTTTCCCTAGCTCTGCCCACCATCATGTAGTTTCTTACAACCTTTGTAACCTAACTCTGGCTTTCTCCCCCAGAACCCCCACAGAACAGAATCCTACAAACTTCCTCCTGTTCCCCAATCTGCACACCAGAGAGCCAGGTAGCCGCATGTCTGCAGACTGTTCTCTTCCTTGGCCCAGGGACAGCTTCCTCCCTGCTTGGCCACCCCCTTCCTATCCAGTCCTCCCCTAGGACTTTTGGCTTCCAAGATCTTTCTTCCAGGGAAACTCTTTAATTTTTTGGTATCAGGAATTGAACTCAGGATGTCGTACTTGCCAGGCCTGCTGCTCAGCTAAATCCCCAGCTCGATTTTATTTTTTTGAGACAAGGTCTCACTATGTAGCCCAGGTTGGCCTTGAACTCTCAGTGATCCTCCTGCCTCAGCCTCACCAGACTGCAAGTGTACATGACCACACCCCTTCAGTGAGGAGCATTTAAAGGCTAAAATGCTGTCCCAGCCTGAGCCTGTTTTTTTTTTTTTTTTCTCTCTCTCTGCTAAATTGGGAAACAAAGTCTCCGGAGGCATGAAGCAACCCCATTCTTGGTGCTTAGTTCCCCACCCAGGACAGGGAGATTCAACATCCTGGGAGTTGGGTCAGTACCAGTCCTCTCCTCCCTAGCTGCCTCTGCTTGGGGTCACACCAGCCTCCTATCCACCTCTTGGGGTCGCAGTTCTTAGGGTGTGCTCAGCCTCTCACTCGTCATCTCCCCAGGGCCTCCCCTTTTGGTCCACCCAGGGTGGGTGCGGGTACAGGGCAAAGGCGAGCCAACAGCAGCAGAAAAGGTGTAGCAGAAAGCTGGACGCTGAGGAGGGAGTGGCTGGGAATCGGAGGGGCCCTGGAGGAGGGACTGAGGAGAGGGACCTCAGATGCCCCATCCCGGGCCGTCTCGTGATGTTCTGGGCGGGAGGGGGAAAGGAACGGGAATCTGAACTTTCCACATCGGTCGGGCGGGCGCTCAGCACGATCAGGTTGCAACATGACCTGGGCTGGTGGCCAGGACTTGTGGGCCAAGGTTACTCTGACTCCAGCCAATGGGGTCGCGCGGCCCAGCGGCTTGGGTAGGTATGCAGCTCCTCACCGCCCACCCCAGCTCTCTCTCCCGAGGCGGCGACAGGTGCGGTCGGTGGCCAGCGGAGGAAAAGGAGCGTTTGCACTGAGAAAAAAGATCAAGGCCGGCCGATCCCTTTTTCTTCTCTACTGTTTTTGGTTGATAATTTATCCCAGCCCCTCTGCTGCTGGGAACTTTGGTCCAGGGCACTGGGCCAGGCCCTCGGTTCGCGCCCTCCGGGACACGGGCGTGCCGCCCGTGCTCTGGTCCTGGGATTTGCAGGCTGCTCTGTCTCTCCCGGCCTCCCCCGCAACAGCTCCAGCAGCCTACAGCAGCCCCTGCCCGGCTTGGGCCCACAACCTCCGCAAGCAGCGCCTCTCTGGGTCAGTCCAAGACATCCTTTTGCCACCCTTTCTCTAACTGGTCAAGAAAAGGTGTCCCGGTGATGGGGGTGGGAGGATGGTGGTCCCAAGAGTGATTCAGTTCAGTCAATGCCGGCCACGATTTGGGACAACCAAACCCAGCATGAGGACGCATGCCTGTAATCCCAGCACTGTGGGAGGCTGAGGCAGGAGGATCCCAAATTAGAGCCAAGGCTGGGCAATTTAGTGAGACTCTGCTTCAAAATAAAAAATAAATGGGTGTAACTCAGTGCAAAAGTCCTGGGTCAACTCCCAGTGCTTAAAAAATTGGGACAACCATGGATGCTGAGAGTATTGCAGGGTGTAGGACAAGAGTGGGTCTCCATCAGGTGGCCACGTGGAATGGCCAGGGAGTGGAGGGTTGGGATGAGCTAGAATGGCTTAGAGTCCTGGGAGGGCAAGAGATGACAGGCATTTCCTTGGGGACAGAGGCTCAGGGGAGGGACATGATAGGGATAAGGGGGAATGGTGACAGGTCCATTGGGGAACAGCTGGCTGGGTCGGGATCAGAGGACGCTGAGGGATTACGAAAGGGACGCCCCGAGGTGGCCGGAGCCCCCGGAGCAGTGCGGACTAGGCGCGCGGGGGTGGCCGGGAGACACGCGTGGGTGACCAGGGTCGCCCCAGCATGCACACAGCAAAGAGCAGCGGAGCCGTCGGCCCGGGGCCGCCCTCACCTGTAGGCCAGGCTCAAGCACTCGAAGAGGTGCGTGAGTGTGGGGTCGATGCTGCGCGGCCCGAAGTCACCAAGCCCTATGGGTCCCTCCTGGTCGCGCCGACGGGTCAGTGAGTCGCTGTGTGGTGATGACACCATGAAGTGTCCGCTGTGGATGACCTGCGAGCGCAGAAGGCCGCCAGCGCTGCGCCGGGGACCCGGGTCCTCCGAGTCTGTGTCCGAGTCCGAGTCTGGGCTGGAGACGACCCGCGGAACCTGCAAGCGCGAGGCCAGACCGGCCAGCGCCCGGGCCATGGTCCCTAGTGCACCCGCCTTGCAAGCGCTCCCTGAAGCTACTTGCGCGCTCCAGGAGGTCTGCTCGACCTTATTAGCATAGCCCCACCCCTTCTCTGCGATAGGCCAACGGAGTGGGCGTGTCTGTGCGTCCAGGACTGGGAGCCGGCGGGCAGGGCTGGAATTAGCTTAATCAATACCCTGAGCGGGAGTCCCAGAGTTCGGGGTCGAGTCGCCGCCCACCTCCCTTCGCGCTGCTGTGATCACTTGGCGTCCCAATCCAGCCACCTCCAGAAGGGTCAACTGCCACCTCCTGATCCTAAAAGCGCCTCAGTGCCTGGGGTTTGTGCACCCAACAGGGTATCCTCCCTTACCTACTACTCGCCTGCGGCGCCTCAACTCACCTTCACACCCCCCCACCCCAGCCGAGAGTTCCCACCTCTCAGAAGGATGTGGAGTGGACAAAGGCAATGCTGGCTCCTGAGAGGTTGTTAGCACACGTAGTCACCTTTGTGATCACTGCTACCTCTACGCAGAGGTTCCCGGGATCCCAGCGTGTGAATCCTGCAAGACTGCATGGAACTATTACCCGTGGGGGCAGGCTGGAGACAAATCTAGCCCTGATCTAGCCTCAATTGCTGTGTGTCCTGTCCTGTCTGTAGTCTCACGGGGAAAACAGGAGGAGGTGATTGGCTGTGTGTTAGAGCCTTGGGAATGGGTCACACATTTTTGGTTGTTTTATTTATTTGTTTGTTTGTTTATTTCTATACTGGAGATTTAACCTGGGCCTTTATACGGAGCTACATTCCCCAGCTCTTTCATAGTTTTTTTTTTTTTTTTTTTTTTTTGTCTTTTTTGGTACCAGGGATTGAACTCACGACTGCCTGCTTGCAAGGCAGGCACTTATGCCACTGAGCTAAATCCCCAGCCCCCTCTTTGGTAGTTTTTGAGACAGGGTCTCACTAAGTCACCAAATCATCTGCTCTGGGCTCCAACTTTTAATCCTCCTGCCTTAGCTTCCTCCTGCTGGGATTATTAGAGTCTTGTACCACACTTTCTTCGATCTACGTTAAGATCACACAGCACAGGATGACACTGGCATCATCCGGAGGCCCCTGGGAACTAGCTGAGAAGTGACACTATTTGTCAGGGAAGCCCTTCCTCACCCTCCCCTGGCTGGATACTCTCTGTCCCTTGCTGGCTCCCTGTTGTGAGGAGTCAGTTCTCTCTGCCCATCCCTGCCACCATCTGTGGGGGCCTCCAGGGCTCCCCCACATTGGCCACTGCCAAGTGGGCCTTCTGGGATCCTGTAAGAGAATGATAGAGTTATTGCTTTCTCCTTAGATCCTTGCTCAGCTTCTTCCTTGCTCTACTGGTCCCTTGAGGCAGAGCTGTGTTCTGGGGCCTCAAGACACTGGAGAACTTGGGGAACACCTGGGAAAGGAGTAGATGCTGGAGGAGCTGGTGGGCCACCGTGAGACAGGATAGGTGCCCTCCATCAAGCAGAGACCCTAAATGATCCATACTCTGCCACTAATCCCATGACCACAGGCAAATCTTCGTCCTACTGAGGTTGTCTCTTCCTCTGCAAAACGAGGTGAGGTGGAGGGCTTGCTCATTTTTGATGGCTCCCCTCTGACATCTTCCCTGGTCTCCAGGTTACCACTTAAGTCCCATCGATGTTGGTTCTGATCAATAGAAGGATGATTTCTTTCTGCTCTGGGTGCTTTGTGAGTGGTGCACACGCCTCTCCTTTCCACTAGATGGCAAATTCTCTGCAAGCAGGAATCACATCCTATTCCTCTCCATAGCCCATTTCCTCGAATGCAAATGCACAAGTGAGTATTTGCTGAATGAATGAGCTTGTGTTACATGAATCCCTTGGACACTCTATCCATCCACTCATCCACTCATCTATCACACGAAAAATGTATGTGTTGCCCCAGGGCAAGGTATTTAACGGGGGTGGGGTGGGATGGGATATAGTTTAAAACCCACTAGTTGGCCAACAACTCTGGGCTATGCCGTAGACACAAGAATAGATATGTCAGTGTGTTTAATTTTTACTTGAGCCCCAATTAAAACCATCCTGGTTCCCTAGCACACTCCCAGCTATCTGGGAGCCTGAAGCAGGAGAACTGCAAGTTCAAGGCCAGCCTGGGAAATTAGTGAGACTCTGTCTCAAAATAGCATAAAACAAGAGAATTAAAAACTTGAGAAAAGAGCCAAGTATGTTAGCACATGCCTGGAATCCTAGGAAGCTTAGGCAGAAGGATCTGAAGTTCAAAGCCAACCTGGGCAATTTAGTGATTTTGCAAGACCTTGTCTCAAAATAAAACATTTTGAAAAACAACTGAGGATGTAGCTCAGTGCAGAAGCACTGGGTTCAATCCCCAATACCAAACAAAAACTTGAGAAAAGCTACTGTTTGGCACTCTTTCTTTCTTTTTTTTTTGGTACCAGGGAATGAACTCACCATCTCAAGCTTGCCAAGCCAGCACTTATGCTGCTGAGGATACCCTTTGCACCTTCTTCTTTTTTTGTGATAGGGTCTCACTATGTAGTTTAGGCTGGCCTTGAACTCACTAGTACCCCACTACATGGACTGGAACTCAAGGTGATCCTCCTGCCTCAGCCTCCCAAATGCTGAGATTACAGACATGGGCCACCAGACCCAGCTCTCGAGTGTGTCAATATTTTTACCAAAAATTTTCCAAAAGGGGAAACTGAGGTCTTGAGAGGCTCTAGAAGACCCTTGTGAGGTCAACAATTAATGGTTAACTTTATGGAGCACATTTTACCTGCAGATCCACAGAATCATCACAGAGCCTCATGACTTTGAACCTATCTTATAAACAAATACTAGACTTTGCTAAAGGACACAGTTTTGGTTTTATTTTGTTTTCATTGCTGGGCATTGAACCCAGGTCCTGGAACATGCAAATGATCTACCACTGAGCCATGCCCCAGCCCCCAAAGGTCAGTTTAAAAGAATTTGGATTCAAACACAGGCAGTGTGATGCCAGTCTGTTCCATAAGTAAATATCTTCTCACTTTAAAAGGACTAGCACACACCTGTAGTTCCATCTACTTGAGTGACTGAGGCAGCTTCCCTTGAATCCAAGACCACCAGCCTGGGCAGCATTGGAAGATGCTGGCTCAAAAAGAAAACAAAACAAGGTGAGGTGCAGTGACACATGCCTGGAATCCCAGCGCTCAGGTAGCTGAGTCAGGATCAGCATGAGTTCAAGGCCACCATAGTCAGTTCAAAGGTAGCCTGCACTATACATAGCAAGAACCTGTCTGAAAACAAAATAAAAACACCAGTTCGGAAAAAGTATTAGGCAATGACCACTAGCGGTGTCCCAGTGCAAGGTCTTCAGTGTGTGGAGGTATCTAAACACATGAATTGACCAACAACCTTAGGACCAAGCAATTCCACCGAAATGTGTGTTTCTATGCACCAAAAGCTGCATGTGAGACATTCACTGCAGCACTGGGCCTATCTGCCCAGTATTGGAGAACAACCTGAATTATCTATGGACAGGTGGGTGGAGACACGTACTGCTGTATACTCACACCACAGGACATCAGCTCCATCACAATAAGGGTGACAGGGTCAGCTGCCTGTTAGGAATCAGGGTTACATTTAGTCTGGGGGTGACCAGAAGGCTTTCGGGGTGCTGCTAATATTTTACGTCTTAATCTAGGTTCTGATCACATGGGTGTTCCCTGAAAAGCCACTGAACTGGACACCTAGCATATGACACTTTTTATACCCACTTAGAAGCAATTTTTAAAAGAAACTCTTCTCACACCCAGCATCAGTCACTCGACCTCCCAGTCCAGTCACAAAGTGATGGCATCAGTGGGTTATTTCCCCTGCCTCCAGCCACAGCCACCTCTCCGCCTGCCCCGGTGTAGGTCCAGGCCCAGCCCCATCCCTCTCCACACCTGCTCCCTGCACCTGAGAGCCTCACTCTGACAACCTGGTTTTTGAGGGAGCCCTTGTCAGCCTAAGCACGCTAAATCAGGAACAGGACTCCACTTCTTGCTGGTCCCTCAGCTCCTTCTTCTGGGTGGGACCTACAGGGCCCTCTCTGGGGCTGCCCAGTGCCAGGCAGTGATCAGACCTAGGGGAGGAGCTGGTGAAGGATGGTGAGGTGGATAAGAGACTCAGTTGCTACATCTATAAAATGGGCGAGGAACCCATGAAGGAAAAGTTGAAGCATGTGATTACATCAAAATGAGCAAGTCAAGCCCAGCATACTGGCACACGCCTGTAATTCCAGCATGCAGGAAAGTGAGGTGGGAGGACTGCTGTGAGGCCAACTAGGCTATACAGCAATTGAATATGAATTGCCACTTGTAAATCACTAAAGTTACATACAGAAATGGAGTTGAGAGTTGTATTTTTTTATATAGAGGAGTTGGGTGCTTCTGTAATAAACATTCTGTTTTGACATTCTTGTTTATTTTTTATTTTTTGGTTTTTTTGAAACCAGATTTCACTATGTAGTTCAGGCTGGCCTTGAGCTTACTTTGCAGCCCAGGCTGATCTCAAACTCACAGTGATCCTCCTGCCTCTGCCTCCCAAGTACTGGGATTATAGATGTGCACCAGCATGCCTGGTTTGCTTATACATTTTTAAATTATGAAAACAAGCCCTGTGTAGACTATCTCCGGTCCTGACTGAGAACTATTGATTTTTGTGCTCCAAGGTTGTAGGAAGAGAGGAGGGGCCAGGTGTGGTCATGTATACTTGTAACCCAGCACTCTGGGAGGCTGAGGCAGGAGAACCCCAAATTCCAGCCCAGCTTGGGCAACCTAGCCAGTTAGTAAGAACTTTTCTCCAAATGAAAAAAATGGCTAAGGATTAAACTCAGATGGAAAGTTCTGGGCTCAATCTTGAATAACACACACATACACACACACACGTGAAGGAAGAGCTAGGCATTGTGTACACCCCTGTACTCCTAACACTGTGGAAGGCTGACACAGGAGGACTGCAAGTTCAAGTCCAGCCTGGGCAATGTAGTGAGACCCTGTCTCAAAGTAAACAATAAAAGGTTGGGAACAT